GTTTCCCAAGGATTCGAGAATGCTTCCTTTCCTCGAGTGACGAATTCCAGAGCCCTCCAGTTTTATGGGGGTCGACCGTTACCCAGGGCCGTGGTCGCAGCGACTGTCGCCCTGCGGTAGGTCGCAACTCGCATTGTAAATAGCATCGCGCGCGGTGTCTCGCTAGCACCCCGTAGTATTTCTTCCACTCGTTAAACGCAGTTATCGCGGCAACGTTTAACGGCACAGGAATTGACCGAAGAAGCGGAGAAACGAGAGCGAGCCAACGACGGCGCCAGGGTTATTTATACCGAGACGACCTTTGACGATGTCGACGGCGACGCTCAATGAAAATCTTTCGCGCCGTCGACCAGACGCGGAAGAAGGGCGAGCGAGCGGCGCATTCTGGGTTCGCGCGGCGCCGCGCCGCCACCCTAAATGCCGTCCTCTCGGCACGTTTCGTTCCCCGGCGAACCTATCGATATGCTCCTTCAACGTTCCCCCCGCCATGCTGTTCGCCGGTTCTTCCGATAGATCGGCCGACCTCGCCGCGAGACCGTCCCACACTTTAGGGGATCGTTGAAATTCCCGAGCCGCGGTTACGCAATGCGACGTAACGTCCTGACGAAAATGATGCGCGGAAACGCGCGATCAACGCCAATTCTATTTCCGTTCCGCGTCTCGTATCGTTCGGCGACGTCGCTCGTTCCCGCGGAAAGAAATCCGGAATCGACGATAATCTTCGCGAAGGGAAAGTCGAACGTCCGTCTCCGCTAATCGTCGATCGGTGGCTCGTTAACGCTAGGTTTACGCAACGCGTGAAATTGACGCATATTGGATTTTAGAAATATTATTTTGTAAATGTTTACGCCGATTTTGATTGATGCGATCACACTGACATGTACCTCAATTACCTACTATCGAATCTCCAGTTTTCACAATCTAAATAAACGAGCATCAATTCTTTTAGGAATAATACCTAGGTGTTAACGCTAGAACCAGCAGACTGGTCGAAACGATTTCTAACGAAAATTCTCATTCCGCCATTATTAACCCTTTGCAGTCTCAGTCATCGCTTGATTTGACACGGTAAAACTGTAGAATGTGATATTTAATGTTAAGCTTCGTATAATGCCTCGATACGTGAAACATTGGAATAAAACAGCTTTGTTCCTCAATGAGTGATTTCTCTTCGAATTAGTCTCAAAGAACATCGTCTTCGCCTCGCAAAGACATGTTAAGTATCTCTAGTAAGAAACATCCGAGCGAAGGGTTAAGATGAAAGTTTCCCGAGAAGTTTCCAAATAAATTCCTGCATTTACGCGATGGAAGCTCTGCGAATCTGAAATCTGCTGGCTAATTTCTACAAACTATAAATAGCTCTTGCTCGGTAGTGCTAGCGTTAAGGGAGGCGACCCTGAGTCTAGGGGTGCAATAAACAGAGGTACGTCGAGGGTACCTTCGGTTAAACAGTGTCCTCGGGGCGTTTTTTGTAGCCTCCGAGCGAGGGACATTGTAGCGAGAGTACGGTTCTAAAAAGTTTTCACGATTTTGCACCTACAAGATCCCGCCATACACAAAGCCGAGGAAGGGACGGGAACGATTCGGCGCGAGCAGGAAGGAAGATGAAAAGAAATGGGAAGTGGGAGGGGCGGCGGAAGGCACGAGCGAAATTTAAGGCGACTTCCTTGGATCCTATCGCCAAGGATAAATGTCGCGTCGTTAGGAGTTAACGAGGGAAAGATGGCGGGCCGGTGCGTCGAGAGAGGGGAGAGAAAGGGGGCGAGAGATCGCGTGCCTCGTCAGCGAAAGCTCGATACTTAATTGAAACTGCCGACTAAGCGGGGCTTTTGCTTACGCGCGCCCCGCCTCGATTCCATCACGGTTATGGACATCCGCTCTTCCGTCCGACCACTCCGCGCTCGTGCGTGCAGGATCGCGACGACGCACCGGTGCTTCAACGTCTCACGGAAACTTCGTTGACAAGACCGAGACGACGGGAAGACGAAAACGCGCGCGCATTCGCTCGCGTTCCCCGAGGATTCGCTCTGAAGACCGTTCTCCAGACGCTCTCAAGACTACACGTTGAAACGATCGCTGAAAGTGATGGGTTCGAGTCTTCCAAAGCTGCGCGATACATGTCGCACTCGAAGAAAGAGTGGAGAAGATTGAAACCCATCGCTCGTCGCGACGTTTCAGCGTCTATGGGACTCTTTGTACCGTCGCTGAAATTCCACACACTCTTATCAGTCATCCGATCGCTCTTTTCATCCCTTCGCACCCTTGCATCTGTAACTGAACTCTCGCGCGTACGCTTTACCGATCCCTTCAGTCTCGCCGTCCTTCTGTTCCGATAATTCTTTCTTCGCACCTCTCCCACTCAAGATCCTCCTGTCTGCGGCCGTACTTTCCCTGAGCACGACGCCACCCACCGAGACGGTCGCGAACAGTCGTCCATTCACACCTTGAGCAACTATAAATTGCAATGTGCCCTTCGTTGCACCGAACCTGGCACTCTCTGAATGCACAGATTCTAAAACGCGCCTTGTCCACGTGGATTTTCAATTTTACTATTCCACCGTTGAACAATGAATATTATTCCAGTATTACATGCATCTACGAAGGACTGAAAATCGAAGCAGTTCCCCGCAAGGAAAGACGATCGCGAGATCCACGATCTTGTCGAGGCAAGATAATCGATCGCTCGATAGAGTCTCGTTTTCCGTCGACCGTGCAACAGGATTACATCGCGACTCGTCGCGTTCTTCGGCGGTAAATAAAACGGCGCGCGGGCAGCGGCGACGATCGAACGGTCCGGCGTGTACGCGAGCGCGGGCATCCGAGTCAATATGTTCGCAGATTATCGACTTTGCCGAGCAAATACGAGCGGTGATCCTTTCGAGGCGCCGAAAAGCCGACCTGCCGCGACACGTTGACTCTCCGCGTTTGCCCGCAAACTTTTCCCGGCTGGCATCCCATCGATCCTCGGTAGTCCGTGGCCGGCCGCGTTACCTCTAACGAGATTCGTTCAGCGAAGAATCGGTCTCCGACGCGCGGGCGACGACGAAAAGTGGAAAGGGGAATCGGTCGAGCGGAAGAGAGCAAAACGGCCGGATAACTGCGGTTCACGGCGAAGAACAAGCGCTGTTTTGACACACCGTACGCCGGCTAAATTTCAACTACTAGAAACGCGAGCGTCTGATCGTATCGATACATTTTGAAACATCGATCGAACCGAAGTTTCCCACGTACGAGGAATAGGTAATTCGATTTTGTTTTGGGTTCGTGTTGTAGATATCGAAAACAGTACGTTGATGGACTAGCAATTAAACGACACTAAAAATCTTATTATCGCCGAGTTTTCGTTGAAAAATTGCCAATATTTTGGCAATAAATATTTTGCTACATGTACCGATATATACTGAATGATTAATAAATAACACTAGCGTGCATATCCGCGCGGAGTAAAAGCCAAATTCTCCGCGCAAGACTCAAATCTCTAAGTTAAATCCCAGCGCGAGAGATTAGAGTGAAATACGAGGGAAAGCTAGGTATTCCACATTTCCACCACTGTAAGTCGAGCAGTATGTTAGTAAAAATATTATGTGACACGTGTCCCGAATTCCTCTCGGTGTCCTCTACAATATGGTAAAAAGAAATGTGTTTCTATTTGTAAAGCCCAAGGTGACCTCGATTTCGCCGTGACAACAGTTTTCGAAATCTGTTCACTGATATCTATTGTGCGCTCCATATCTTGCAACTCTTATTTTCAACGTTTCTAACTAGACTTCTGCGAGGGGGTGAAAAATCGCCCTACATGCCGCCGCGCGTAATTACGAAATTATCGAGGAAATCGAGGTTCGCCGAGAAATCTTCCCGATACGAGGGATGATCTGTTTCGGTCTGGTTCCAAAGGTCGGAAGCTCGACCGAACCCGCCGGGAATTCGCTTTCCGCGAGTCGGAACGAATCGAGCCGGCCGTACACTGCTTTTAGAACCCCTTTCATCCAGGTTTTACGACGGCAGTTCGGTGAATTGGCAATCGCGAAATCTCACGGGACGGCGAAACGCGGAATGTGGCGGTGCAACCCTTACAGCTGAATTCTCCGTCGTCCGTCCGTCGAACGTACCTGTCCTGGCATCCTCTCGCGCGGATTCGCCGTCATCCTATCGGATAAGCCGGACGTTCTTTCGAACTCCGAGAAAGCGACCTTTCGCGCGGACTTCGCGCCCTGGTAGCTCGACGGATCGCGTCCATTTTTCTCCTGGACTTTCGGCTGAGTCTAAGCGAAGAGCAAAGGTCGAGCGAACGGCGTCGATCGAATCGAGACCAGATCGTTGAGCCGCGAAGAGCCGAGTTGGAACTGAAGTTCGAGCCCTACGCGTGTCCTGCTGCGACGCGCGCGATCAACCGAAGGAGGGACTATTTAGGTTTCGTGGCCGCGGACGAGGTCCAATCGGGTACAAGGACGGAATAGCTAAACCGTCGTCGTGAAAATTATTACGAGCGACGAGGTTGCGCGTAACTCGCCCAAACAGAATTTCAATGGGGGAGTCGCTCCCACTCCGGAGCCGGGATCGCCATCGCGACGGCCGCGGGACGTGCGGGACTCGAGCGATTTTTCGCGCGAGGAATCCAGATTCCGTTGAAATATATTACCCGGCCGACGCGTGATCCGCCCCGGCGAAACGTCCGCGGATTCGAAAGTCCCGGAGAGAAGAGACACGCGTCGAAAATCGAACGGACGCGCAACGTTTCTCGCGGTGGTCTCTCGGTTTGGACAACGGCCAAGGACGCGTTGCGTCAACTTTTGTCGACTGTTCGTCGACACGGCGCGGAGGGCCGAGGCGAGGTTGCTCGTTCCCGATGCAACCCCGGGACGAACAACGCCGAGAGGTTAATAATTATGCGCGATTACGCGAGGCGGACGTTACCCAGTCGATGCACGTAACGCCGCCGACGACGCGATCGCACAGGTATAAAAGGGGACTAGACCGGTGTTTCGAGCATCAATCGATTTTCAACGTGCCTACAAGCTTGTTACCTCCTCTCCAACCGACAACATGAAGTGCATCGCAGTGAGTAAACGCATTTTATAAACACATTTACCGAACAAACTGGAGCTCCGCGCCGACATTTTCGCGTCCACTTCGGTGGAGAAACTCGATCGCAACCGTGCCACTCGGCAGATTTTCTAGCCCTCTCCAGTCGGGATGGCTCGACGTTCCGCGATAGTTGAAAATTGTTCCTAGTTTCACAGTATTATCGTTCACACTTCAAAATGCCGAATTCTAGATGTACATACTATGTACACAGCTTCTCGAGATGAATCCCTTCGGTTCCATCAATCATATTCACTAGACGACTAACTTCACAAAGCAAAACTTCAGAGAATCAATATTTTCTAATTCCTCTGAAATCCCCGATTCATTAATCTCGCCAGAAAAGTACATAAACTCTCGAAAACCTAACAATTGAACATACATTAACATTTCCAAACAGAAACCATCAAACGATCGACTTCTACGAATTAAAACCGCACACGAATCTCCCAGCTCTACCGGCTCTTTCCCCCAGAAACACAAAAGTGCATGCTCCATATTGATAACCCACGCGGCACACATTCTCGATAGTAATTCACGGTAACGCAATTTTCCCTGCACTAACTTTTCCGATCGAATCGGCAGGCTGTCGTCCTGTTCGGCCTGTTCGCCGTGGCTCTGGCCAAACCTCTGGAGACCGAGTCGATCGAGCCGGCGAAGGCGGAGCAGCCGCTGGCGGCGGAAGCCGACGCCGCGAGGAACAAGCGGGGCTTGCTGCTGGGCGCCGCGTACACGGCCCCCGTAGCCTACAGCGCGTACACCGCACCGGTGGCCTACACCTCGGCGGCGTACAGCTACCCCTACGCGGCGTACACCAACTACCCTTACTACGCCGCCCCGTACTCCGCCCCGTACTACGTCCTCTAAGGCTGCCAGCAGCCCCCGATCGGCAAGACATCGGCATCCACGCCACGGACACGACCGGACCGCCCACCTAAGCGCGACGACTGCACCACCGATTCCTCTCCGGACGGCTCACCGCGGCGAGCTGCCCGGATTCAACCGGGATCGGTTAGGGATAACTGCACGACACCGACAACGAGCAACGCCGGAGAGACGCGAGCGTCAAGACCGTCCATCCGATCGAACGAGAATCATCGTCGTTCCCGCGGGAAACCCGTTTCCCGTCCGAGACGCGTCGCCGGCGCTGCTCCGCGTTCTACTAACAATTAGCTCGTAAGAAGAAACTATCCATCGACTCATGTAAAAGGTAATAAAAGTTGTTGCAAAGTCTACGAGCGTCCCGTCTCTGCCTCCGTTCCACGCTGTTCGGTTCGACTCGTCGCGAGCTCGTCGCGAACAATTGACCGTGTCGCGCGTCCGCCGGTAATAGCCTGCGACGCCCTCCGGAGCGGCCGCTCGTTTCGCGGAGCGTTTCGAAACGATTCCAGCCCGCCCGCCTATTGCGAATGGAAACATCGAAACTTCAAAAGGTCGTGGACCAGCGGGTAACGAGACTCGGCCCCCTTTCTTCGCGGTGAAGTGGCAGAAGCTTGGCAGAAGCTCGCCGGAAGCGGCACAAAGCGTGCGCGCGCCGCGGTGTGTTTCAGGGAAAACGCGGCCGAGCCGGGAGATCTCGAAATACACGGGGATCGAGCGCGGTAAAAGTTTTAATTGCCGTCGTTGGTCGGGTCCCAACGGTAATTAAACCGAGCCGCGACGAGTAACGATCGCGCCCGTTAAATTGCGTTTCAAGATTATTTCGAGTTTCCCCGATGCGCGCCGCCCTTCGGCCCGCCCGGGAAAGCGGTTTTCGGCTCGCCCGCCGGCCGGCGACAAATCATCCGTGCCCGCTGGAAAAACGGCCCCGGCCAAATTAACCCGACGAGTGATTTAGGGAAGCCGAGTATTTATCGCGATCGCCGCGGAAACGAAATCCGAACAGCGCCGCGGCCGGGAGGAGCTTCCAGATTCCGTCGGCGCGGCGGACTATAATCGTCGAGAGGCCCGGCGAACGGTCTCCATCTCGGCTCGGCGATTTCCGATAATATTCGCGGGCACGTTGGCCACCGATCCGTTCGCCGCTGGACGACACTCAATTTCCTCGCGTTCGTCGCCGTTCCGAATCGGCCGCCTTCGAGCGGTCTGCTTCAGAGATCGCGATATCGGGAGACACGCTCGTGGAGAAAATTGAGTCGACGCTGCCGTTTTCGAAAATTCATTAGAGATAGAATTGGCAAGGAGAGCCTTCCGTGGGTTCGACTGGACAGAATTAGAGTCGATTCGAGAGAGAGAAACGAATGTCGAGTATTTGTGGAACAAGTTGATGCGACTCGTTGTGTCAAGATCAATCGCGTCGTTCTTGTTTACTTCTTGTATTTGTTGGATGAAGTTATTCTATTATAAAGGTTATGGCTTATAATCCAGTTGCTCGCACCAAGGGAGTTTACAGTGAAATGGAAAAATTGAAACCATTAATCTTCCCAAGTTCCTATAACTACTCATTCCTGTTTGTTTTTATTAACGAACTTCACATCGTGGACGAAAGTGGACACATCCAGTAAGCAACGAAGCCTAATTTACTTAAACTCGCAATCTAAATTTCATTGAGTACACAAGCGAACGAGCGATAATACGGGAAACGGGGCGCAAGGCATTAACATTCCAGCATAATGAAAAAGATATGTAGTTCGTTCCGTTTACACGGAACCGCACGAAATTGCGTGTAGACGAAATTAAGCGGACACTTTGTATGTGCATACGCAAAGACTCGGTAATTAGTATATTCGGTATTTGAACCTTTGGCTTCTGCGACGGCCTCCAACCGTTGTAGTCCGGTTCCAGCGAGTTTCGCGAACTACTTTCTATCGATTCGCTGAATTCGATTGCGGCTCTTCGAAAAGGATTTCTTTGCGTTACGTTTTTCTACGTCCGAAGCGCTCCAGAAATTCCCTATCGGATTAAGGTCTCTGCGGGGGCGATTTCGGAGCCTTTATTTCACAGTTCGAAAGAATTGATTTATCTTCGTATCGGTATGTACGTCGCGTACCGTGTCCCTGCCGGCCAACTTCGGAAATGGCGGAGCTTTCCATTCCCCGAGCGTACTCGATACGACCACCCGCCACCCCGTTTCCCAGCCCACTCATCTTCGCCGGACCCTTCGTCGCGCTCGGGTGCCTTGCTCCGTCGAGCTGCCGGAAACTGGTAGACTGCGAGTAAACATCTTCGTTGCGATCAAACTTTATTCGATTACAGAATTCGATTACATTCGATATTCGCCTCGCGCCTCGACAGTTTTTCGTTAGCTGCGCGCTCGAAGGCGACGGATATCGTCCGCAGCGATTTTCAAAGAACGCTCCTCCATAACGGAGCGAAATTTCAACGGTGCACTTTCAACTCTTTGACAACTTCTACAGTTTAACGCTGAAACTACCGATAAATTATTATTAACGCTAGGTTTACGGAACGCGTGAAATTGACGCATATTGGATTTCAGAAATATTATTTTGTAAACGTTCACGCCGATTTTGATTGATGCGATCACAGTGACATGTACCCCAATTACCTATCGAATCTCCAGTTTCAATCTAAATAAACGAGCATCGATTCTTTTAGGAGTAATAGAATGAAGTGTGCAATAAATGCCCGTAAACCTAGTGTTAACAGTGAAACGAGCAATTAGAGTGACGCGGGTATAATCGTTCGCGGAAACGAGCACGACGCGTTCCTCGAGATGCTTGTATCGGTGGAAACGCGTCGGTTTAATTGGAAATCTATCGCGGAAACGCCTTCGCGATTGAAACACTTGCGAAATAAACATTCTGGGCTGGGTCAATCCGAGCTGCCCGGCAGTTTCAGTGTTAACGCGATTTTCCCGGGGGATCCTCCGAGGTCGGGTCCGACCGAGCTCCGGCCGATCTCTCCGATGCCGGGTAATTAATCGAACGAGTTTGCCCGATGGAATCCAATTGGCCGTCTGCTCGACGTCGCTTCCTCTGTCTGTCTCTGTTTCGTGTGCCGAATGTGCCGTTGCATCGCCGCACCGCGCCGCGCATTTGGTGGGGCATTTGACCCGAAAAGCTGGTCGAAACTATTATAGCGTCGTTTCGGCCTTAAAAATGCTCGTGCTGCGCGCTGATGGGTTCGTCTAGACGCGAGCTGCGACACTGTGAAGTTAAAACTTGAATGTCCTTGGATAATGACCACGTCGCGTTGATCTCTGGATTAAAACTATTGTTTCTCTGCGTATTATCGCAATTAGATGACTGAATCTAGATGAACGCCATTTGCCTTTCGTTTAATAAACTGTTTATCTCATTGACAGTATTGGTAACGATTTCTCTGTCGTACTAAGCAAGCTTCGACAGCTTGATTTTCTCGAGTATGACTTTAACAGACGCACCCGTTTTAACCCTTTGCACTCGAGAGGTGACCGTTTGATTTGATATAACAAAATTACAAAGTGTTGTATATGATACTATGTTTTATACAATGCATCAATATGTGAAATATTTATATAAAATAGCTATGTCTCATTGGAAAGTGTCGAATATTTCTAGTGAAGCTTCCGAGTGCAAAGGGTTAAAATTCGACTGAAGACTCCGCGTTTTCTTTTGCCCTCAACTTCACATCAGTTCTTATATCCGATGAATTAGATTTTCAATCTTTCTCCTTTCTTCTACTTCAGTTTCTATTTCGAGAAGTCGATCATCTAATTTGTTCACTCTTCCGTCGCAATCCGTTCGACTCGTTATTTTAGAAATAGATGTTATAAATAAATGTTCTTAAAGAGATATACCAACGTGTTGAATATTATGGTAATCGATTGAAAATGTACATATACAAATCGTTTGGAAAGGTCGCGTCTCGAATGGTTCAAACGCGGGAACGAGCGAATCGAGTTTCATTCCGAAAGTTCATTCTCTCAGCGGAAAACGAGGCTCGCAGAATCAGCGGCACGAGAGGCCGGTGAAAAGAGAGTTTCACGCGAGACCGTGGAAACGCGCAACAGCGGAGGCTCATCCATTAATCGGGGAACGAACGATGCGCAGTATAAATACACGAGACGGTCGATCGGATCCCGTTTCGTTCGCTCGTTCGTCCGCTCGTTCGTCCGCTCGCTGGCAAGCCCTAATTATCGCATTTGCGTGGGATGCGAGCCCACGGTGGTCCCTCCTATCGGAAATCCCTGCCGCAACGTCTACGTGCACGCGTATTTACGCAAAGCCGACGACGAACGGCGGATCCCGAACCAGAACTCGCCGACGCGTACGGGAAATTTCGGAAACGCGGCGAGCTTTCGCGATCGATTCGACGCTGTACGCTTCGGCAGCTGCCTTCCGAAATTCCCTGAAAGATGCGGCGAAAGTTTGCTCGACGATCGATCGGTTGGCTTCACCGAGGATAAAGTGAAACCGATCGACTAGTCGCTAATTAAAGAGCTTCGGGAATTATCCTCGGTTCCTTCCATCATTCTAATTCGAAACTTCTTTTCGTGCTCGCCTCTTCACCCCTTGTCGTTGCAGACTACCGTCACGTCGGGACAATGAATTTCCAGGGGGCACAGCTGGCTCCCAATAAAATGGAACGAAAAGCTCGCTGAGTCCGCTGGAACGAGAATAATGTTCGATGCGAACGATTCACGTATTTACGTCCTCTATTCCCAAGTAATCGACGGAGTAAACGCAATTACCATTTCCACGCGGAGATATCGAAGAGGACGTATCGTAACTTATGGATCGAACGTACCTCGAGTGACGTACTCGAAACAAGAACGGATTCCTCGATCGAACGACGAGCCGACCGATCGAAGCTCGCGGCGGGAAGCGACGGGGGGGGGAGGACGATCGTCGGGAGAAACGTTTTCACGAAACTCGAGCGTGAAAAGCGAAAGGAGGGTTGGCGCTGGAGAACGGTTCCGCCATAAATCAAACGACCCTCTTCAATTTCGCGGGGGTAACGATACGCCGCGCTCCACCCCCGAGAGTCCAAGTGTTTCCCGGTTTTTTCGCTGGGTGGCCTTGGTCGCGCGGGGGTTCCTAAATCGGTGCGCTGCAGGCCCGACGATGGATCGATAAAGGTGGCTGTCCCGAGCCGGCAGACATTACCCGAATTCCGTGAATACCGGCGACCCTCGATTCGCGCTTCGCTCCCGATTAAATTAACCACCGATCACGCTAAGATACTGCCTCGTCTGCTCACTGCGAACGGGGAAACCGGCGCGACGGTGTTTCACGATGTTCGACGATATTCCACAATATTCGA